GGCAGGGCCGGACCGCCGGAGGCCGCTCCGTCCCGGTTGTCCCCGGGGACACGGCCCGCACCCCCTCTGGCCGCGCCCGCTGGAGCCGGGGATCGGTGGCCGCGAAGACGTCACGGCTGCGGGCTTGCCTCAGGTGATCCGCACCCGTGCCATTTCGCTGGGCACCGCGGGCGAGGGTGTGCTGGGGAATGGAATTTGACCCTCTCTTGTACCTTCGATCGATTAAATCATCCCACCAAGTCCCCGAGCTTTCGCACGCTCCTCATCGCCAGAGGTACAAAGTATACGCAAAGGTTTGTCCCCGCAGGGGAGGGCGCGGCTGGTGCTCTTAGGCAGGAGCAGGCAGGGATGGTTGAGCCCGGCGGCCACACGCAAATTCAACCACTGTGCGAGCTGCGAGACAGCGGCGGGCTGAGGTGGAGCAGGAGGAGTTAGTCAGGGGCTGAGTCACGATTGGGTTCGCCCCCGGTAAGCCTGTCTTTTCCTGTTTGCCTGTGATCTGCAGATTGCCGAGTGTTCCCATTAAACCTCCTTTTATTTTTTTTGCCAGGGATGACATCTAAGGATGCTTCAGGTGAAGCTAATAGTAACTGGAGATGACTTCGGCTATTGTCCTCGGAGAAACCAAGGCATTGTGGACTGTTTCCTGGCTGGTGCGATATCTAACGTGTCCCTTCTCGTCAACGGAAGTGCTGCAGCAGATGCAGCCAAGCTGGCAAGGAGGTAAGCTACTTTCTTTAGCTCCTTTGTGGACAGCCTCCACGAAAAACCAAGCCTGGAAAATGTATTTTGTAGCCCCAGAATAAACACTGTATCATAGCTCAGACTGGTATAAGAAAACTCTATTCAGATACATTTACTAAGACTCTTTATAGTAAAACCAGTGATCTTCTAATACTAGTAGTGGTCTTTCTCTAGTATTAGCCACTGCACCTTTCCCCCCCCGCCCCAGGATAGGAAGTCATTTCCACTATTTGACTAGTAGAAATTGGGTTTGTCAGACTTTCTCCTTCCACACTTCTAAGAGATGCATCATCAGAAGGAAAGTGCACATTATATAGTTAGACCAATCTTCCTACCCCTAAAACTATAAGAGCATAAAAGCACAAGTATTTAAATCTAATATAATTGATCCATTTCACCCAGGCCAAATACAAGGTCAGACAGGCTCATTGCAGAATCAGGGAAAGGTGTGATTCTGCAAAGGCTGATTTATAAATCTGGACAGTGAAAAACTTGACTTTTTCCCCACACCATAAACCTTTTTAAAAAAAGCACATCAATATTTATATTAATTCTAGGCTTGATAAATCTGTAAAAAATGCATACATAAAGAAAGGAACAATACCTTGTACCACCTTTACTTCACCAACTTCAGAGGCTGCTGGCACAGTTAGCTCTGCAGCAGATCAAGTGCTCTGTGGCAGTCTCATGGTCTAGTCTAGCAAATCCTTTAATAGGAAGCATTATTTGTATTTAGGAGGTAAAACCCAGTTTATGCTTTAGCTCTGGTGTAGCCAGGCACTTGGAAGCAGGAGTATGTCCTGAAAGAGAGAACATCAAGGTTGAGAAACAATTTAGGAAAGCAGAAAAGGAAAGAAGCTGTACTGCTGCTAAATAAACAGAGACCTTATGCTTTAAATGTAGCTGCTGTGGGGGAGACTTTCATGAGAGTCCTGCTGTCCTCGTTCTCATTGAGCACCTCTCCTCAATTTGCTGTGGTTTTAGAGGTATTTGGAAATTGCTTTTAGCTTCTTTGCTGTATAGTAGTGGAAGAAAGCCAAGGTGCAGTGTTAGTGGCAAACTGGTCTGTAATAAGGCTAGAGATTCTTCACAAACATCAAGGGAGGAACTGCCTGGGAATGAGAAGGGGAGAGGCACAACACTAGTAAGATTCTTAAAATCCTATTAGTAAATGAAACAAAACACAGAGATAAAGCCAGCACATCTCTCAGACACAGAGGCACCATGAAACCCTTTAAGCCCCAGTGGTCTGGTAATGTTGTCAGCTATTTTAGCCATGGTCTTTAGCAGGCTTTTAAAATAGAATCCACCTGGCCTCATTTCCATAGCCAGGAAGTAGGCCATGGAATCAGGGGTTTAGAAAGCATCTTTGAATCCAGGTCATGACACTTGTGCTGGCAGCTGATATGGGTGTGAAAAGCCACTTGGGAGAGCAGGGGACAGCAGAGGCTGCAGCCTGCTGCTCCAATTTGATTTTTTCTGGGGAGATGGGCCTGGGAGGGGATGTAATTTTGAATTATCAGTGTGAATGAAATGGATTTAAATCTGTTTCTGAGCATATAAGCAGGGTCACTTTGGGAACGTCTGCCAGCTCTGAAGATCAACACCCCAGCTTCTACATTTCCTCATTTGTGTAGCTATCTGCAGGTGTATTCAGCCATACCCAGGCATGGGGGGAGCATTAGCAGGTGTGGAGAAGCAATTTCCTCATGTTGAAATGCAAGCCCAGCCTCAGCTGCTGTTAATTGGCACCTGTGTGTGTAAACAAACCCCTGTGTCACCCCTGAGATATTTGTTCATGTTACAAAGGCTGACGCAAACTCTCTACACAGATGACAAATAGGTCAGATTTGCTAGAAACGTCATTGAGTCCTCCTCATCTTGTGGTGCAGAAATTGGAAAGTATCATTTGCTTGTCTGCCTTGCCAATATTATTCCTTCTTTCCCCTGCTTGGTGTCATCTCCCATCCCACTGTAAATATTGAGGCTTTTCATTTTATAGGATTAAAGTCTGCCTGTTTTTTTTTCTCCCCATGTTTGTCTTCCCCTGTTCAGCCTTGACCAGTGGTGTAAGCAGGAAGAGTGGATCTATCCTCAGCTGAGAGAAGAGGCTTGAAGCAAATAGCTTGTCCTTTCCTGGGGCACATTCCAGTGCGGTGGAATTTGGTCTTTCACACACATGGTGCCAGGATTGTCAGAGTGATGGACTGCTTTTATGGCTTCTTGATAAACTGTCTATGACATGATTGCTTGTCACTGCAAGTCTTAAGCTGTCACTCCTCATCTGGTATTCAGATAATTGGACACAGGAAGAGCTAATTAATAAGTAGGCAACTTTTCCTTCCAAGCACCTCATGCTGCTCTACAATGTTAGGACCCAGCATCTTTCAGAAAGGAACACAGGTCTTCTGAAATTTCTTTATTCCTTTCATTTTCACAATAATTCTGTAGTTTCTGGTTATACCATCTGTTGCTCTGAGTCTTGATTAAAAGCCTTGGCAGACATGTGATAGTCAGCAGATCTTTGTATCAGCTCTAACACAAGCCAACTGCAGAACAGCAGAACCAAGCAGTAAAAAATGTACCTTCCTTAACATTCAGGCTCAGCACCTTGGGCTTTCCTCATCTGCTGTCACAACTGGGCTGAAAGAAGGGGCACACTCATTTCTGGCAGCAGAGAAGTTTCAGCAGAGGCCTGATCCATCACCAAATGACAAACCTATTGATAGCATCTGCCAGAGCAGAACATAACCAGAACAGCAGGTGGGAGAACAGACTGCCGTTGTAGGTTGAAGATTTTTTTCAGTAACTCAAAGCTTTTCTCTTTATGGGGCCTTGACTGACTGTGATTTCCTGCTTATTCATATAATATAATCACAATTTTCTACTTAAGAGGCCCTGCCTTGAAGTCAGGCTCTGGAATAATCACCAGGAAGTCTGTCTTTCTCAGAAACTGGAAGGGTTATTTTGTAACTTGAAGAGATGCCTTAATTTTTCCTTAGAAAAGTTGAGATAGAAATAGAGACACCTAAGACAGTTTACTGTCATATCCCCCCCCCTTTACATCAAACAGCTCAGGTGTCACTGAGTCTTAGGACCCTTTTCTATTTGATTGTGTCCAAATAGCTTATGAAGAGTGACATATTTTAGAACACAACCTCAGTCTTCCTGGGTATTTTTTTGTGGTTTAAATACTGAATATCAGCCAAAGCCCCCACAACATCTGGGTACATTTAACAGAAGAATCTAACACAGCCACATTTAATTGCTCCATGTTTTCACTTCCTTTCCCATCAACACTAATTGCAAAATATGTGTGTAAATTGTGACTTAATTCTGACCCTCACAGTCAACATCTGACTAATTTAGAATTCTCTTATGCTTTCTCGTCACCCTTTTATGTGACTGTTAATCACACAGCAGACAGTTCCTCTGCTGCACTGTTTGGATAGGGGTGGGACCCAATCTGAAGCTTTACACTAGAATCTCAGATCATATTGACTTTACTGGCAACAGCCCATTTTACTGACATAAGGCTGCAGACACAGGAGCTGCACTTGATACAAAGACGTAATTACAACAGAAACCTGGGTCCCTAAGCTAAGTTACAGCAACCAGCTCTTAACAGTGCAGAGGGTTTAGAGCATTTCTGGCAGAAGAAATAGGTTTTTAGCAGTAACAGAGAAAGAAAGTATGCCATTTGAAGAAAGACAGATATTCCTGAATGGTGAAAGTGTGTGTGAGGAGGTATGCAAATGCCAACATGAGGAAACTAAGGAGTGCACGCTTTTGCTCAAATCCTTGCTTTGTTTGGCTTCAGACACATGGGTGTTCACTGAAGCGAGATGTTTAGATACAGATACGTATGTGAGGCTCTGACTTGGGTCACACTTGGGCCGAAACCTGATGATCAGCAATTTCCTGGATGATACAAATAGGATGTTGAAGGTGGAATTTGTTTACCCATCAAGAGAAAGGGAAAAGTGCTATGCTTAAGCCAGAGCATGCAGCCTTCAGCAAGGCAATTGGAACAGTGCTTGGCAAATCTCATAATTCCCACAGCCATTGCAAGTGCTCTCAGGAATACACAGTCCCATGGCATGGGCAGGCAGGACCCAGGACACTGTTGCTCATCCAGCCTCAGAGTGACTTGCTGCAGTTACCCATTCTCCAGGGTCCCTTTGCTGCCAAGGATGTCAGTGAACAGGAATTGCAGCTGCACATTGCCTCAGCAGAGACATTTGTTCAGAGCACTCATGTGGCAAAACAAGCAACTACTTGAAAAGGAAGCAGTTTAAGCAGTTTACCTGATTGTATTTCCTCTCTCTTTGATAACTGAACTGGGCCTGCTGACTCAGAATTCTTTCGAGGGTGAATTTCTTCTTGCTCCTCCTAGCACTTGCTGTAAGGATATTTCCTCTTGCACAAGCCTCTCCTTTTCTGCCCCCACCTCTACAGGAATGCTGAGAAGAGAGCCATAGATGTAACAGCCAACTTTCAGTGCAAAAAAGCTCACTAATGCATTAACCTCAGTGGCCTGAACCTCTTCACCACAAGTGCCCAGGCAGCTCAGTCTAATGCTGATCCTGCTGCAGGAGCACACACCTGACTGAAAGGGTCATTATGGCTTAAAAGAGTAATCAGAAAGAATTTAGAGACACCAAGTTGATTCTTCACATAATTTTGTTTTGGCAATGGTGGCTGTATGCAGAAACTAAACTGTTGCCTGAAGCCCAATGCCAATCCTTTTATTTTGCATCTCGTGTGAGCAATTAGCAATTCATGACCAGCAATGACCAGCAGGGCTCACCCTGTCCCATCTGGAAAGGGCTTGGGCAGAGGAGGGGGTATGAGGCCAAACCCACAACAGCTGAGCTCTGGTCCCAGGGCAGCGTCACATGCTATGTAAGCTGCTTGAGCTGCTGGTCTCTGCTTCAGTATTTCAGCCAACAAGTTAGCAGGTAGTTTACAGTCTTTTGAAAGACGTGGGCAACTACAAAGTACGTTTCTGCTACAGAAATAATCATGTGTGCTCTGAAAAGTGGGCCCTTTCAGGATATTCCTGCACCTTAACTTTTCTCCCTCTGAGGATGCAGTAGAACTCTGCTGTACTCACTGAACTGTCCTCCTCCCCATACCCTTACAACTTCTCAGCATGCCTTCTTCTGTGCACCTCCCACAGATGAGTATTTCTGAACAAGTTTCTCATGTATAGCATTTTGAGTTTTGCTTTCAGTGCCTGTATCCCAGAGCCATTAAACACGAGCAATTCCTCTCCAGACTGACTCCATGAGCAAACTATTAAGATATTCAGCTGGTGTTAGGGAAAGCTCTGAAACATGCTCTAATGTTACAGTCAGGGTCTCTTCTTACCCAAGGACAAGGCCAGCTCTCTCTGCACTTCCACATTCTGCACATTCCCCAGCTCAGGGGCTGGCTTCGGCTCTGGCCAGGAGCTGCTCTCATGTTCCCCAGTGCAGCCCTTGGCTCCTGGGTGTCCCACACCTGTCAGAGGGACTTGCCTTCTCCTGGAAATAGCCTCCCTCACAGCATTTGAGGCATTGCACAATTGCAGGCAGTTCATTTGATGCTCCTGGGAGACAGCACTGAGAGGCTCAACTGTTCATTTCTTGCCCTCCCACAACACATGAGAAAGAGAGTACTCAACAGAAAAAGTCCATCGGCTGATTCATGGTAACACATGAATCCTTTTTTTCTTGCAAACTGGCTGTGCTACAAATAATACTCCAGCTGATGCAGTCAAGAGCTCCCTGGAGACATGATAAAGAATTTGGGGTGGATTTCTAAAAGAAAACCAAAACAAAACCACAGGCTTTCCCTCTGCCTTTGGGCTCATGCAGGGTGCCCAGCAGGATACAGGATGGAGGGGAAACCCTCCTGCCACAGCACCCCTTCTGCACTGTAGCTGTCTTCTGTGCTGCTCTGCAGCCTGTCACCCCCAGTGACACCTTCCACTTTTTGTATTAGCCAGGAGTTGGTATGCACATGTGCTCAGGCCCCTGCTATGATGAACATTTTTCATCAGTGAAACAATCAGGCCCTGCTACACAGAAATCACCAGATCAGAAAAGCCAGAGAGGACCTTTTTCTCCACAAGCTGTTTTGCTCCATGAAATTAACATTCAAGCTCTTTAATCATGCAATGGACTTATTTTTTTTCACAGATCTGTGCATTTAACTTGACTCTTAACATATATGTCTTTGAGAAGTAGTGTCTGGCAACTGATTGCACCATCTACCTGGTTCACAAGACATGGAAGAGCCAGGAAAAAAAGACTTTCAGTTCTGCAAGGGCCAAAGCATTAGGACATGAATGAGCTAAATGACTCTGACTTGGTCCAGTCCATCCACAGTCCTGTCTCCAGTGAGCTGGTGCTTCAGCAGTCAGCTTCAGATGTCAGACAGCACCCTTTGCCTAAATGGAGATTGTTTTTGTTTTCTCCTTGCCATACAAGGGCTGTACCAGGGACAGACCACACCCACTTTTAACAGTTCCATGCAGATGTTCCAAGAAGGTTTTAAAGCATCACAGACTTCTTGTCTTGAAATTCACTCTGCACCATGACTCAGACTGGGCAGCATAGACGGAACATTGCAGTCCTTCATCCACTCACTGGGTCAGCCAGAGGCCATGGGTTGTCTTGGGAAAAGTTTCAAAACATCATTTTGGCTACTGATTCTGAGGATTTCCAGAAATGTTAATGAGACCCATCACAAGTCCAAGCACGCACAAGTCCTGTTCTCATTGTAGGGGAATCCACAGCAGACCAAGAAGGAAACACCAGCACTCTGCTAAGCCCTATGCTTGAGGGGAGCTCTGCAGCTACACCAGCTCCACAGTTTGCTTTGGTTTTATTTTTTTTTTTTTCTTTTTTAAGAATGCTACAAAGTGCAACTGGGTAATCTATATGCTCCTTAGCAAGACTCTACACTTCCCTGTAGGCCTCCTTGCACTAATCCTTCTTTGGCTGTGCCAGGGAGATGCTGTTCTGTACAGCTCAGCCTTGTCACTCACTGAGTGATTGCTCCAGTAGACAGAAGCCTGGCCACTGCAGGCAATTCCATCTGCAGCCCCTTGTATTTACACCTGTAGCCTCTGCTGTTGCCATAACAGCTTCCTTGGACACTGTTTATATGTAAGTGACTGGATTCTTCTTAAGCGCAGCTTTAGGAGTCATCAAGTAAAACTCAAATGACTCATAAATGTTCCATCTTTAACAGGGTGAACAACTCAAGGGGATACCTAGCAAGGGCTAATGAGGTGCTTTAGAAAAACTGCAAGATCTGGATTTTTCAGCTGGTTTCCAGTGACTGCAGTTACTGGAGTGCAGTTACAGCATTTAGCCCAAGATACCTCGTGAGCCAGGGTGGGGGCCGGGTTTGGGGGCACTCACAGGCTGGCTCTGGGTAGAGTGCTCAGGGGGGTTGCCTGGTTGGGGTCACTGCCATCCTTTCTGGCAGAGCAGAGATACAAAGATGTACTCCAGTGAGCAACACCTCTAAGATCAGTCTGGTTCTTACATTTAAATCTCCCCTTCTTTGACAACAGTGAGGGAGGGGCAAAACTTACCAGATATTTCACTCTCTTCCAGATACAACATCCCAATAGGCCTGCATGCCAACCTCTCCGAGGGCTCCCCTGTATGTGAAGTGCTCAAGACAAACTCTTCTCTGCTCAACCAGGATGGATTTTTCCATGGAAAAATGGGATTCAGAACAGCTCTGTCAAAAGGTCTCCTGAATATGTCAGAGGTAGGAGAAAGCCACATACAGCTGTACAGCTTGCCTTCCTGATACAAATCAGCCTGCATTTATCCCAGCACATAACAGCTGAGGATCTTTCCCAGATCCCAGCTGTGAGCAGGCTTAGAGATGAATCCTGCCTGTGCAGCTTGAGCTGGCTTTTAGGTCCTGGGCCTCGTTCTGCAGCCTTTGAGAACCCATTCTTTCCTGATTCAGTGCCTGTATATACTGTTAAATATTTATCTGAGGAGGTAGAAGGGGCATTGGAACAGGTATTTACAAAGAACCTAGAGATCAGTAAAGAGCAAATGACAGAAAAGCCCTAAGTAAGCACCAGGCTTTTCATCAGCTTGTGAGAGGTTTTGGTTCTCTAGGGAGATGTTTGGTTTTGCCCCATGAGCAAGGATGAACATGTTCAGATGATCAAAACTACACCCATTTTAAACAGAAATGGGCGTTCAAATATCCTATGTATTTAGAACATCCCCATCAGCAGTACCACAGAGAGCCCCATGCCCAGTGGAGGCTCTGGGCAGCCCAGCAGTGCTGCACATCCCTGTACAACCACAGCACCTGCTGCTTCCCAGAGCCAGGTCCTGGCTCCTGCCCAGTGAGGTCCCAGCAGCCCCATCATTCCCCTGCTCTCAGCCTCTGCCAGGTCATGCTCTGACCCTTTTCTGCTGCACAGGTGAAGCAGGAGCTAAAGGCCCAGGTGGAGCTGTTCCATGAGCTGACAGGTCACCTACCTCCTCACATGGATGGGCACCAGCATGTCCATGTTCTCCCAGGTAAGAAGGAAATCTTCCCAGCACCAAGCAGGTAAGAGAGTCAGCTCAGAGGGGACTCCCCCTGCCACAGCTGCCTTTATGGGCAATAACCCCACCATGAGACACCTGCTAGCAGTTGCAGTTTGAATGTTCCCACATGACCCCACAGTCCTGTGCAGACCCAAACTCTTCTTGGAGGCCTGGGTCTTCCCATAGCAGCACCAGGGCATTAATGGCACAAATGGTCCAGGTTACACCTCTTCCTCCAAGGAGCAATAATTCTCCTCAGCATCTTAATTCCATGTTCTCACCCACATTGAAGGAGGCAGACCAAAGTCAGCAGCAGACTGGCCAGTTTAAACTGGAATGCTGGAGCTTGCAATAGCTGGTGGCTCTTTCAGATCCTACAAGAACTCCATCCTGTCTGTTGTGTTCCCACACCAGCCCCTCACTGCAGATCTAAGCTGTAGAGATGAGCAAGGATCTTTTGTCCTTGTTTTACAAATAAAGTCATTGTGGTACACAGATGGAAAATGGAGTGAGAAAAGAATCCAGTTTTTCCCATTCCACTATTAACTGCCTCCGGATAACATTGCTCTGGCTGTACAAGGACTTGATGAAGAATTTGTTCCTGACAGTGCAGACCTCTGGTGCACTCTAAGACCAGAGTCACTCACTTAGAAGCGGGGCTAGACTAAAGGCTCAGTGCTGAAAGGAAGACAAGGCACCTACAGCAGAAGTCCAGGGAGAAATGTTTCCAGTATAGCAGGTGACTCTCATACAGACGGATTTTGGCAGAAGATAAACCAAATGGAATTTTATTTTCATAGAAAGGAAAGAAGCCTCTGTGCTAACAGCTTGCAGGGGACTCGAGAAGCTGGTTATCCAACTCCTGACTGCAGACTCTGGTTTTGCTTACAGAGGTCAGGCATGTATTTGCAGAGGTGTTAGAGGAATATGGGATTAAGTACACACGTGTCCCAATAGAGCCAGGCCTTCATAACTGTGACTGGATTCCACCATCCCTCATGGACTTCTACCTGGGAGTAGAGGAAGATTCTTTTAACACAGTGGATGTGTTTACAAAGCATGGAATAAGGTAAGACAGGTATTAGTCATCCTTTTTTGTAGTAAAACATTAAGATTTTATCAGTTCCTGATAGTATCTTTCAAAACTGGAACACTACCTTTCTCTTTCCTCTTAGGACTTAGAGAGAGTTTCAGGAGGAGCACAAAAGTGCCAGGGGCACAAGGGCTTAGAAAGTTTTGTTTGAACAGAGATGAGTCACTTTCCACTTGAGAAGGAATGTTATTTTCAGGGTATGCTTCTCAGCCTTTCTAGTGAAGCTGCATCAGCCTGGCAGTTGGAATGTCAGGAGAAATGCTGCATCAACGCTGGAATTTTAGAAGTATTATCTAAGGAAAATTGAACTAAATTTTCATCTTCCTGTCATAGTACAGAAAGGGTTTTAAGTAGCAGGAAAGAGACTAATTAGAAGCAGGTATTTATTAGGGGGAAGCAATAAGCTCTGAGAGGTGGCAGTACCACAGCAGGTGATCACTGCTGTAAGCAGAGCCTTGTCAGTGTCTTGCATCTCAGGGGCCAAACCCAGAAAGCTCAGCCCTTTCCCCAATAAAATCCTTCTCTTAAAAGTTTAGTCAGTGTTTTTTGTGTTAAAGGCCTTTCCCTAGAGACCCTTGCAGTCACCTGTCCTTTGGTGCAGATGTCATTATGTCCTCAGTCCACTGGAAACATTATTTTCTGGGATTTTTTTTTTTAAATCTGTTGTTCTGAACACCAGCAGCAGGCTGGCCTTTCTCCCTTCTCAACAAGAGCTGAGCTGGACTCTTCCGTGATCATTCAGGTAACGACTCCAGCCTTGATTTCTTCCAAAACCATTTTCATTCTGCCCTGACATGCAGTGGCTCAACTCTCCTGGACTCGTTCATGCCGCGCTTAGAACTGACACTCGCAGCCAGACTTGAAGGAAGAATTGCGTGAAGCGAAGAAACAGGGTGTAGGTGGCATCCTCTAGGAGTAACATTTTGTCCATTTATTATGGCTTTTTGATACATTCTGGCAGAAGGCTTCTTTAGCTGGGTGGTTGCCATTTTATTTCAGTTATTTCAGTTTCTACTTAGCTGAGGGGTTATTATTCAGGCTTAAGTTATTTCTATAGTGTGGCTTTTTTCAGTTTAGCACTGCTTTTCCCTTTTGGGACAATAAAATACACCTGTAAGCTCACAGATGCCAAACACCCCATGTGCCATCACAGTGCTGGGGCTGTGCTGGGCCTTGCTGTCCTTGTAGAACTGCTGCTTGAAATAGGATCCTGGTTTCAGTCAGGAAATGTTCTGGTTTTACTTTTGTTTATAGTTAAAAGTTTAAAAAAACATGAGTTTTTTTCTATCTTAAATTTTAGGTAAATTTTGATTCCTAATCCAGTGGATGTAACACAATTCTCTACCTACCTCTCTGGCATTAACAGCTGTGTTCCCTCCTCTGGCTGCAGGTGGCCAGACATTTACATAGGCCTGAGCACCATGGGCAGGAACATGTCTGTCAGCAGCATCCAGAGCGCCATCGACAGCGCCGTCCTGCAGCTCACGGCCAAGGCACCGCAGAGCAGCACAGTGACCATCGAGCTGATGGTGCACCCAGGGTACCCCAGTGTCCCACCCGCCGGCGGCTGTGGGCAAGGACCAGATGATTTCTCACAGTCCTGGGAACGCCTCCATGAACTCCAGACATTAATTAAGCCGGAGCTGCAGAGCCATTATAAAAGCAGGAACATTCAGCTGTGTTCATTCAAAGATCTTTAAATAAATGAGCAGCCATCCATCCATCCATCCTCTGAAGACAGGCAGTTGCAAATGTCCAGATCAAATGTCCAAGCCAAATCACTGTTCTCAGAGTCACAGGCCCTGGTCCAGCTCAAAGGAGTTGTGAACGGCCTGGGAATGGACACCACCACCCTGTGAGCAGTGCCCCAGAGCCCCAGCTGCAGGTTTAAGACCACAATGTCTGCTCAAAATGTGCCAAACTCCTTCTGTGACACCCCCTCCACAGCGCCCCAGTGCAGCACACGCTCCCAGGATGCAGCTCCAGCAAAAGAACAGCACTAGGACAGACTTGGCTGTGAGATGCTGCAGCACAGCACCCTGAGGAGTCTGATCATTTCCCCTTCAGACTTGATGGCAAAACAAGAACTGTGCTGGGGAGCAGGTGCTGCTTTGGAGCAGCCACTCAGTGTCGGTCACCCACTGGACACCTGCAGCACTTGGTTCTCTGAAAGCAGCCAGTCCCTGCCCCTCCACTCGTACCTGTGCACCGATGGTGAGGGGCGCAGGGACATTTCACCCTCAGAGCCTTCCTCTGCTCAGAGCAGTCAGGTCACACACGGCCCAGTGGGGTCTGCAGCCACCTGGGAGCCACCTCAGCTGTCAGGAATTGTGTCTCTGCCTGTTTACATTGCCTCTTGGCATTAAGCCCCCCCTAGGAAAGTAACATCAGCCACAGCCCTTTTGGAGAGGCTTCTTATTTTTGGGATGACTTTGCAGGAGCAGCAACTGTTGACCCATCTGCTGTTTTAGTAACTGCTGTGTATGAGAACAGCAGCAACTGGTCTTGCACCACCCACTGCCCCTCAGGACAACCACGAGCTGTACCAGCCACAAGCACGGCTGCGAGTGGAGAAGGTCCTTGTATTTGTCCCTTTTATTCCTGTCACCAGAACATTCAAACTCCAACAGCCCCAGTAGCACTGCAGCTCTGTCATTCCTGTAAGGACTTTCACACGGGGAAAAATTATTTTAGATTTTTTGTGCTCATTCTCTGCACAGGAGTGATTCTAGTTAACATAATTGGTTTTGTTAACCATGTTTTTTAATATAAAAAAAATCAGTATGGTCATCATTCTTTTAAATGAAAAATAAACTCAGGCCTTTTCTATTGCAAATCTTCAGGAGGCTTTCGAGTTTAGTTATATCTGGTGAGTGAACTAAACCCACTCACCTGCCTGCTCCCACACCGCTAGAAGGGCCTCCCTTTCTATCATTAATGGGAACTGTCTGATCTTTCCTATAACACATCTGAGGAAGTTTTTGTCCTGTACAAGTAGGAAAAACATCAAGGATCCTGTAGAAAATATTTTCCCCGATTCTTTCCTATATTCTAGAAATGCCTTATGTGTCTGAGCCGGGCGGCGTGAGAGCAGGGCAGGTGTTACCCCGGGGATGCCCGGCCGCGAAGCCGCTGCCGGGGGCACCGGGACAGAGCCGCGGCCGGAGCGCTCACACCCGCCAGCGCCACCCCGTGCCCGCCGGGCCGCACTGCAGCCGCAGAGCTCCAGCGGGTACCGAACTGGCCCCGCGTTCTCACGGATATTTTTAACTTATTATAAACATTTAAACCGCCCCATGTTCTAAGCGCTGGATTGGCTCTGATCGCACCCGTCAGCACCTGACACACCTGTGAAATTTTGGATGCATTTCCTGGCAGCTGAACGCTGAAAACCTGAGGGCAGCCTTTACCTGAGGGCTCTAGTGTGAAAAATGGACTCCATAAATTCCTTATTTTTAAATGTAGAGCATTAAACCCCAAAATTCTGTTTTACTAGAGAAATGAATAATGAACTACTTAAAAGGCTACTCAACAGGGAACCTTTCACGTGCATGAAGTATAAGGAGATAAGGAAATTTTTCAGTGGTTCTGTGAAAGCTTTAAAGACAACCCAAGTTCATATGAGAACACTACAATCCCAGTTAACTCCCAGACCTCTGTGAAAATAAAACCATGCCACAAAGCCTTTGAGAGCAATTTTTATTAGGGTAGCAGAATGGACTTGCAGAAAGCCTATACCAGTACTCCTGGGTGTAGTTTCACCAGTGCGCTGCATTCACTGTGGATGTTCAACTGCACATTTAAAATTCAGCATGGCTTAGGGAACCAGAGAGAACAAGAGCTTGATTTCCTGAGTTATCATAGGACTTCACACTTGGATTTCTTCTCCTCAGCCTTCAGCCACAGAGGTGCTGGATCCCTTTGTTCAGAGGCTACCCCAGACACGCGCCAGCACTTTGTTTACGCGTCTCACAGTTTAGCAATTGGACAATGAAGAACACACCAAGAGAACCGATAGCGAGATCTGTCTTTGTGTGACCTCTGCAGCTGGATGGGAGCAGCTGGTGCGGCTCGGCCGGAGATCCTGCGATCGCACAGCCCCTCCGTCCCTTCCTGCGGCATCCGATCACAGCCAGGCAGACAGACGCAGTCTTTGACCTGAGAGGCTTTACAACCACAGAGTAACTATTGAGTAGCAACAAGGGCAGCAAACTAGTGCTACAGATTTGTTTCAAATAAAATTTAGAGAATGGTAAAGTTTCCATGCCAATAGACATGATCAAAGGTACAGTGACTCAGGTGATGCAGAAGTTACACACTTCAGTTTGACAGATAATTTGGCATTATTTTATTATGAATCTGAGTGAGCGTGAACAAAACAAAATCAGTACCAACTTTCTGCAAATGAAGACACAAAGATGTGAAAATTTGGTAATAGTGCTCTCACAAGCCTGAAAACACTTAGGAAATGCAAGTTTCCGTAAATAAGGTGAATGTGGTTTAACTTTATTTACCTGCCAAAGAATCTGTCTAAGAACACTTAAACATAAAATTTCTTAGCTCCCTAACTTATAAAAAAATTTACTTTCAACAGAGGTGAGGTACTGGGCTGTCATTGTTTACACTAAATTGGAAATGAAAGCCAGAGGAGAGGGACGAATGAGGAAATAGCAAATACACAAGACATTAAAAACAAGAGAGAGCTACTGCTTGACACACTAGTTCTGAAAGGTTGCAAAGGCAGAGGCTGTATTAAAATTGAATTTAGGAGTACAGGCAACCACCTAGGTGTCAGGGTTTTTTTAACTCAGCTTCCTGCACATCAAAATGATATGTGCTCCCAGATACCTACAGATTTCTGGAAATAATCCATTCACTCAGTAGCAGACCCCAGCTGCAGAAGGGGAGACAGCAGGTTGACTGTGTGGCAGTTTGACTGGAGCTAGGAGCACGCTCTGGGCTGGGGAGGAAAGGCAGCAGAAGCAGCAGAGACACAGCAGAGGATGCTCAGCTCTGAAGGGAAAGGGCTCCCTTTCCTTCAGCATGCGCAGGAGTGCCCCGGGACAGCCACAGAAGGGCTCCCCCGACACTGAACACTCACTGAATCCCCTGCCCCATGTGTTGAACACAGCAGCAGCAGCAGCTGAGCACACCCTGGCACACCTTATTGCTCAGGCCTGGCCTCGCAGCCGTGCCGGGGCTGGGAACGGCTTCGAGGGCCATCCCACAAACACAGATGCTCCTGACGCATTCTGAGGGAAAACGTTCAGAGAGGACAGCAGTTCTGTCAGATTTAGTTCTTGAATTCAAAATTAATATTTCCAAAATAATGATTTTAAACTCAAAAGACAGTTTGTCACTTTGGTACCTCTTGGTCCCCAGTTTCTGGAACTCTCCTAGATTGGTTGCAATGTTGTTCTGTGCATGTTTCCCGCGACTCTGCATAGGTATTAAAGATAGAAGTGAAGGAAGTTTGCAATCACATTCCACTACTTGTTTGCTACAGATTTTTTTCCAAAGTTTTCCAAGAGCAGAACATAAGCCATATTCTAATTCAATGACGCACACAAAAACTTGGGTTTCCCCGTTTAATGGATGTTGGCCAGATTTACATCAGACCTAGACATTATTTCTGATTGGTTTTGTGGGGTTGGATTTTGTTTATTATGTTACAAACTGAAGTTCAGGGGAACTTTCAACAGGTCCCACAAAGCACAGTGCAACATTTAGAAAGAAAAGTAAACGAAACTGCCAAACACTCAATCATTTTCTGCCAGAACTGGGATATTTTTCCTAAGACATCACTTTGAGGAGGGAGTTAAAATCCAATGAATGAACTCAAGATAGTGGGAACTGCAAGGAAAAATAAGAAATGACAGCCACAACCTTTTCAATTTAAGGGCAGAATATAAGTCTAAGATATTTTTGATAAATTCTGACAAGAAAAAGAAAACAGCATACTTTAAAGTATATTGAAGCAGTGATTTTTAAACAAAGAAAGCAGAACTAGAACATCTTAAATTTTAATCCTTTCTTTACAGGTTACCTAGCCCACTTTTGATTAAGAAAACTGTAGAAAGTTAGTAACAGCCACAAGTTCACACCAAAAGGTGGCACTTGTCAATTTTCCATAGAGTCCTGCTTTACGGGGTGTCTCAAATGCACTGCTCCGATCTTCTATCATAGGTTGCTGACAGCACTTGTGTCAGATTTTAGTCCACTGGTCGCTTTTCACCATATTTCTTTGTAAACTCTTCAGCATTCTTACAGAATTTTTTACGGTCCTTAGAGTATTCTTCAGCTAGGTCAGCCCGGAGGGGGTGCTCGGGCTGTGGATCATTCACCAGTGCTATGAGGGACTGGATTACTGTCAAAAGAAGTATAAATACGGTCAGAGACTTAGATGGTTAATTTTTCAAAATCAAAATGTAAGCAAAATTCCCCTGTAAGAAAAGAGCTTTAACTGCATTTAAATACATCCCCATAAATCTCAGGCCTTTTCAAGCGCAGGGAGTGAGTAAGCTGTAGTGATATGCCAAGATTTAGTTCAATGACCATGAATGAACACCAGAAAATCGTATTTGTAAACAAAATCAACATGAATAGAGACCAAAGTGCACAACAAATGATTTCCCATGTAATTGGCATCCCATCTAAAATCCTCTCCTATGGCTGAGAACAAATCGAAGTTCTCAGACAGGTTCACTGAAGGGGTTGGGGAAAGACAGAATTTGCACCATGAAGCATTTTCCAACACCTGTCACAGTGACACAGCTGTGACCCAGACTCTTCTGGAAACCCTTTTTTCCAGCTTTATTTCCCTATGATTCTCCTATGAACAGCACGCAAAATCTTCCCTTTACTCTGCCCAAGGCAGCCAGTAGAGATGCACTGGGCAAACCACGGGGTGAGAGTGACAAGGTGCTCACAGTAATGTCACCAATGTCCCTGTCACTTTCTGAAGGAAAGTCATTCTTCAGGAAATGGAGATGCACCTGACATTTACAAAGTGAACCTCACACCCCACAGTGCCATTTACTGCTACATTTTTCTTGCACACATCCTCACAGCCATTGGAAGCTCACAAGGATCAGGAGTCCCACTGCCCAGCTGCCCAAAGGTGTCAGTGTTCCCGGGCAGGAATGCAAGTTCATACAATGATGATCACTACAGCAGATGCTTCTAGAACACCAGAGTGGCTTTGTTTGGGGCACTGATCTCAGTCTTTTCCACTCATGAACAAACCTCAAAAGAAATACTCAAAGCCACACTCAAATCTGACCTGTGTCTCTAAACTGCTAAACAGGAACATTTCTTACCACAAATGCAAGTTTAAACTGCATCAAACTATCTAAGGAAAGTAGAATTGATACCAGCTTCCCTCACAGTAACTCACCAGTCCTTACAACAACTACCATCCCATTGCTGAAACCAGCAGAAACACTTGAGTGGCAATCCCTTCTCACTGAGCAAGGCATGCAAAAACACTACAGAGAAAATGTGTGTTCAATAATCTTAATAACAGTAACACGACAGAAAAAAATAGGCCTGGCAGAACAGGAGCTGCCTCAATATCCACAGTGTTTGAAGACTATCCTGCCATAACAATTGTTTCTAATATTAAGCATAAATTTACCAAAAGTACAGCAGTAAGATGCAAATTTAGTATGTGAAAGGTAAGTTAATGATTTATGATGAACAATCTCTTTTTGACACCTGCATGAACAAAACCAGTCACTCTGATGCTGTACTAATGATGTCACATTATTTCACTGAGAAAAGCTGAGAGCGATTTTTCAGTGCAGAAGAAATCTGAAGGAAAAGGAATAGACATTTAAACAGGGTTTTAGTAACATTGTCACAGGTTCGTACAACCATGTAGTAACAATAGAAGTTGACACTAAAACAACTTACTGAAGAAAGAGTTAAGACAAATTAAAAACCACAACACAGCAGACCTTGATAAATTTGTAGTATTTTGATACCCAGGATCGGTTCCAAATTCTGATTTTAGCACAGCTTTTATTCACTCTCTCAGATAAAAAGGGAATTGCTACTTCTCAGGGAGACACTGACTATTTCCTGCATGCAAACAATTGTTAGAGTAGTTCCAGCTAATGACAGCTTGTTTTTCAAGCTGAGTAG